CAGTTTTTTTTTGCATGCTGGCTTCTTACACAGAAATGTAGATGGGTGCAAAGTCATATGGTGATTCAGTTATTTGACACGTTCAACAAATGTCACCCTGCAACACTACTTCCTGCAAATCATGTGACTGGTAGGAAGTCATGTTGCTTTCTACTGAACATTATATGTGCATTACATATAGCTTTTAATGAAACTGACTGTAAAGGTGGTCACATTAAAAAACTACTTGATGTAAAAATGAATAGACATATTTGTTATTTCTCCTCTAACTGCTATTTATTACATTTTTCTGACATTTTTCTTGCATAAACCTCACAAATTGCAAGGAAGAAGTGGCCATGTAGATGTGGTTCATCTCTATCTGGTTTTGGTGGAGTTTCAAGTACTAGAGATGAGTGTAAATGAGTTAGAGTTCATTTTTGACCTATCTAGAGGCTAGCTCTCAGTGTCTTAAAAATCCCCTACATTGCAGGAAGCACTGCCTGAAACGTCTGGGGGGAAAAAGAACATCAAGTTTATATCGTTTTTTCACATCTAAAGTAAAAAGCATGTTGTGTGTATTAGAAAAAAAATGTAATATAATGTACATTTATATTTTATTTATTAAAATTTTAAGGGTGACCCAGCGTGCACGTAACCAAGACCTTCTTAATCCCAGTTCACCGGTTACTCATGTGAACTCTGGCTCTTCACATTCTCTTTTAATGAAAAGGGTCTTGTGTAATCATTGTTTTTTGATGTCAAGAGGAAAAAAGTGTTTAATATCTGAACTACGAGGTGTGTGCAACAGTGGACAGCACATAATTTCTGACACCAGCAGACAAGCATTCAACTCTTATGTATGAATATTTTTACTTATTTATAGATTTTACTTCTGTATGCAAATGTACCTTTTTATTACAATTTGATTAAGGTTTAAAGTGTGTGGTGAATTTAAGGTTAAATTATATCCTTTAACCAGGTAAAAGACAAACCTTGACGAATTTCTCAGACATTTCCTTAGTTACTACAGTTTCTTGTCACATGACATAAGTAGGACAGTAGAGTACATAGTCTCACATAATTGGGGACTCTTGTTGACTCCCTTAGATTTTGCACAACATGATAATACATTATCAGTGCAGTACATTATGATAGTTCAACTATATAGAAAAATATAGATATTGGACCACACCTATTATCTTTTTAATTCGGGCTTTTTCAGTCCTACTGCTACAGGTGTATGCAATCCAGCACCTAGCTATGCAGTCTACCTTTACAAACAAGAATGAGTCACATTAAAGAACTCACTGAGTTCGATTGTAGTATTGTAAAAGGGTGCCACTGTTGCAACAGATGATTTTGTGAAATCCACTCCTAGTTATTCCACATTCAACTGTAAGTGGTCCATTTGCAAAATGGAAGCTTTTGGCTTGAGGGCCACGGTGAATATAAAAGGCCCCGAGCCTTGGTCCTCTGTTTCCTTTCCTTTTGGATTACAGCATGCACATATGACTAACCAATGGTTCCAACATTAAGAAGAGAAGTGGCAATACATGGTGCAGATGACAAGTCTGCAGTTAAAAGGTACTTCAACAAATCTGGGTCCTCCTGAGACCTCCTGTGCAATTCTGTGCTACAGACAAGGTTCTCCAACTCTTTAAACAAAAATTGGACTCCTGAGATCTTACAAGGCTCAATTGTCTTCTCACTCCATTGCGCCGTTTTCAGCAGCACCTGCCATAAACAAGGTTCCCACAAAGAAGTCGCACAAAACAGTATTCTGTTTTGCTGCACACCATGTTTATCCCCTCGGCCATCCCTGGTGCACCTTCGTGTCTACTTCATTTGAGCAGGAACAGCTTGCTCCATCTCAGAATATTTTATAGGGATGGGTCTGTTGGTGGAATTGTGACTCTCTGGCTCCATTCATATATCATGTCAATGTGTAAATGATCACTTCTGATGAGTTTCACATTTTGATACATCCTGTCTGTACCTTCTGTTTTTAAGCATGCAGACTGACTGTTTTATTTCACAATCCATGCAATTAATAAATTCAAAAAGATAAAAGAAGAGACATGAGCTTCAGCACGTTCTAGAGCCCAGGAGCTTCCTAATGTTGAAGCAGAATCTCAGCATCAAACTATTAAAGCCAGAGAAGAGGAATTATAGTTTCTACTTTTACTCCTACTGTTCATAGGTTCCCCACAAACTTAATGCTAGTAAAAGTGTTTTGTAGCTGTAATAAACACAGCATGTAGTGGTGTTTTGCATGAGTGGATAACCTTGATATGTGTCTGTTTATATTTCCCCCTACTTTACTTTGGGTTGATTTGGTTTATTTAATAAAGAAATAATAACTCTAACTGAATCTCTATTCTTGTATATCGTGGCCTGGATCTGTAAGCACCAAAAACTTGCAAATGTAAACTTGAACCACTTTTATCTTAAATATTAAAGACAAATTAGCTCAGTGAAAATCCCTGTGCCCTCTCTGTAGCTCTGTCAATACTTAATTTATTTTGTGCTGTCTCAGGAAAGAAAGACGCATATTTAAAATCCTCTAATTGTTTCTTCATCGCCACGATTCGAGTGTAATTAGATCTTAAAATATGGTACATTCAGCAGTGTTTCTATACCACTGATTCAACAATACATAATCTTCACTTTACCACTTAAAACCCTTAGATAGGTCCCGTTTCCATATGACCAATTTAAAAAAGTTAGTAGTAAGTCATGGCTTGTCTATTTATTAGTAACAACACAGATATGAGTAGAATAACCAGTGCTCTCGTGCCTGGGGAGAAAGAAAATATCTCAAGAATGCTGGTAAATTGTTAAGAAGGAACAGGCTGGAGTTTATATTCAGCTCAGATCAGTGTTCATAGTGTTAAATTTGGAGGATTATTCACAAGGACCAAACCCAGTGGCACAAAAACAGTTTAAAGTAGAACTTCCCTGCTTTACACAAGAGAAACTTCCAAAAGAAATAAATAAAAACGTAAAAACAAATAAATAAAAACCGAGTGGAGAGTGAGGTGAAACAACAGGACCACAGCATGAGTCACCAACAAATCTATAATTTACAAACTAGCTCCCTGCCATGCACAGAACTGGTATATGAGAAGGAAAGTAGAAAAATGTTGGTTAAAAAGGATAGAGGTGTGTGATGAGCAAAAAGAAGATCACACTGATGAGTGGCGAATGGACATTTTCTTTCAGGGCTAAGCTATGTAGATCGGATCCCCTGAGACACAGAGGTATGAACTGACTGCCCCCTACCTCCATCCAAATCACACATACAAACACATCCACAGCAAACACAGCAATGCGAAACTTCATTAAAAAGGTCATCTGCAGATCATGTCATCATAAACTACTGCCAGTAACAGTGTTCCGCTCACATGATTGCCCTCCTTTCACTCTTCATCCACATCTCATTACTAGATGAATGAAACAGTTTAGCCTTGAGATTTCTTATACTATGCGTTCCGTGTTTATTCCAGAATGTCATTATGAGTTATGCCATGTCTTTCTTTTAATTTAATCAAGTGGGCCCTAAGGTGCTTTAATTACATACTGTGGTAATTTGGGGTAGGTGGTAGTGGCATATGTAGTCCGGGGAATCCGCATTCCCTAGTTTAGTTACTAGATCTTTGGAAATCTCAACAAATGCATTAGTATCTTGATCTGCTGTGCTGCCTTTGAACAGTAGCCTATTTGAAGCAAATACATAAATATGCATGATTGTCCAGCCTTGATTGGGATCTTCGGGGCATTTGAAAAGATGCTCTAATAGCTCAAGAAGTGCAGACATTTCTGTACCTGAGCTCTTTCTCACCATCTCAAAAGGTACCTGATCTGGGCTGAACTTAAAGGGGTGTAAGGGTAACGGGGTAAGGGGTAATGCCATTAAATATTGTATCTGACCGGAGTACATCGAAGCATCCACGCGTCCTTTTTTGCTGCATTTGTGTGTGTGTGTGTGTGTGTGTGTGTGTGTGTGTGTGTGTGTGTGGTGTATGTGTGTGTGTGTGTGTGTGTGACAAGTGCTGAGGTCGTGCAATCCCAAATGCAAATTCATTCCATTTATATGATGATGGGCCCGCAGCGGCCAACGGTGCGCAACTTTCCTCCTCCTCCTGGATCGAGGAGAGCGAGAGAGATGAGCTCTTAATCACACACACACACACACACACATATCACTCTCACCAACACACACACACACACACACACACACACACACACACACACACACACACACACTTTATGAATCTCCCTCCATCCTGACCCTCAGCAATCAGCCTGAGAGGAGGTTTGCATTCATTTGATTACCAAGAGAAAACGAAGACAAATTTCGATAAATGTTAAGTATCAGCTGCACACCAAACACATTGCCTCAAATGTTTAATGCTGATAATTTTTTTAAAATATTTTCTCTTTCATTAACAGAAGCTCCTCCTGAACAGTGACAGAAATGCACGCTCACAAACAGTCTGCAGGTGGTAAGCGATCGACCGACGGTAACGAATATCAGCTATATGTCCTATTTCAAAAGCAAGTCAGTATTTTTACGAAAAACAAGAATCACTGAGCCTTTTTCACCTAAAGGTTTCTTTTCTAAAGCAAGTATTTTGCGCAGCTTGGTCGGCGAGAGTGCGCAGCTCTGTGCGTTCATGCGCTTGGAACGGAGTGAGAGAGTCAAAAGTGGCAGACAGTAGAAGACGAGATGCTGCTTTCTGCTGTGCACGGGACGCTCATCAAGGCGCAGATCCTCCCATGACTTACATCTTAGACTAAGAAGAAACAGGGTCATTTGGAGATGTTTAATGCTATTCGTTATTTTAACCACATAAACTTGTCCTCGACCACATATTGTGAATAATTCTGCAGTGTAAATCATGAAGTCAAAAAAACAAAATCAACCCACTGCATCACAGTTGCTGATTCTACCGGTGAATTCTCAAAGCCCACAGAAACCCGACAGTGCTCAGAGTTAAGTATGAGCGTGTGTTTACCGTTAAGAAACGATCCCATCCGCTGTTTTTTTCCCCACCTCATACAATATTCCTCTGTGCCTTAAGTCCCGTTAGGTTAAGGTCCAGTCCTTCCAAAAGCCACATAGTACTCCTGAAAAAATCCCGACGCTCAAGCGTTGGAAATAAGCCTTGGAAATAAGACTGGCGCACTTTTCACTCCAGATGGTAGAAACTCGGGTTAAATGCGGTCCAACATTTACACACGGGCAGAAAGAAATTAAGGAAACCCTTTTAGTCCAAAACAAGTGCTCCGTTAATCCAAAATGGGTTTTTTTATTCACAACTATAAAATTCTCCTGTGACAGAAGAAACCATTACGCTCCGGGTCTTTTGACGTGAATCGGTCTACATGTTAATGACGGTCACGTTAGAGAAAAAGAAAGAACAGTGGGATTTTTTCCCCCCCATCGTCCGCTCCTCACGATTCAGGTTGCACTTGGCTGATAAAACGCCGTCCTCTCTTTCTCGCTCTCTCTTCCTCTCCCCCCTCCTCCTCCTCCTCTCCTCCAGCCCCCAGTCTCTCTCGGAAGCTTTCGTGGAGCAGAGACGCACCTAGCGGCCTAAGAGGGAACTCCACAGCCACATGAGTTTATTCCCACCCCGCCCCCTATACAGACTGCTCTTAAAGAAACATTAAAATGTGAGACTTTTTTGCGTGTGTGTAAAAAGAGAAATCAATAAAACCTTCGTGAAGTGTGATTTGAAAAGTTAGACCACCATTCAGCTTGTTGCTTATATATAACAAAGATTAAAAAAAAGGTAAACTCCTATTGCCCAGTGGTGTACAGTAAAATATCTTTAACACTCATGCTTTATGAATAATTATAAATAATAATGTTTGAAAATATTAATATTAAAAGTAGTTTTCAAAATGTATCGTTTTGTATTTTGAAGCCTGTTTCATATAAGCTACAACAACATAAAACACAACATTTTTGCATTACCTTAAAATAAAACAAGTAAATAGTGCAAATACTGAAATTATATGTCATTCACCATTATCAACATATAGATATTTTCATATGATTTTAAAGGCATTAGGCTGAATGTTTAAAATGTTTAAAATTGATTGTTAGCAATCTACTGTATTATTACAAAAATATTACCATAATATTAGTCAGAGGTTTTTGCTGGCATCTTTAAAAGGGTTTCTCAGTAATATTATCTTTTTTCTAGTCATTCATTTGAATTCTACACCACTATTATAATATAAATTTTAGTAACAGGTTATTGCATGGTCATCCATTTGGAAATCACATAGGAATTTATAAACGACCTTGATTAAATTATTACCATGTTCTTACTGAGGTGGAAGGTAAACTGTCACCAAAATCTCTACTCCCAGGGATTACTGGTGTCTAACTGCCAAACACAAGTCTCAGCTCTGATTTACCTTAAAATAGTGTCTCTTTCTCAGTAGTCTGAGTTACATTCCCCTCATGGGGGATATGGGTTAGCTTAATTCTAACACTTAGAAAGACATGGAGACCTTTGGCTTTTCTCCTGTGAAGAGCTTCTGGAGCTGAGAAAGTGGGAATACCAAAAGAAGAGAAAAGATGTCTGTGCTTTCAGTTTATCAAAAGGAACCTACTTATTTTCAATTATACACAAACAAAAGTTATACAAAAGCAAATAAAAAAATCAATCAAAACCAATCCAAAATAGAAAAATGTTCCTCCTGAACCAGTAGCTTGTTTTATACTAACCATCATCTTATTCTGTGTGACATCAATGCACATGGCAGCAGCATGGCAACCACATTTTCTGTCTACTCGATCTCTCTGCTCTAAGCCCATATATGGGACTCAACACAAAACTGCACATTGATAATGACATGTCCGTAATCAAAGCAAAAACACTTGTTCCATGAAAGTTTCTTTCATGGAACAAGTGTTCTTACTATACACAGAACAAAATGTTACTTGATAGAACATATTACACTGGAAAATTTTTATTAGAAACTGGTTGACTTCAAAATAACCTGTTAAAAAATTAAAAAGAAACATCTCAGATTATGCAGGTAACTGTCATGATCCGGAGTTTGTGACTCCGTGTTTATGTTTTAGTAGTTATTGTTATTCTGGGTTTTGTTTTCATGTTCCTATGTGTTCCCCAGTCTGTGTGAAGTTTGTTTGTTGTGTCATTGCGTGTATGTGTTTCCTGTTTTATTTTGAAGGTCTGCGTCTTATGTGAGTGTTTTTAGTTTGCCTCCCTAGTCTCATCACGTTAATCACTCCCAGCTGTGTCCCCCACCTGTGCGTGATCTCCCTGTGTTCTCTGAGTGTTTTTAAGTCTTGTCTCCTGTCTTAGTTGTTGCTGGTTCGTCTGTGTTGTTTCCCCTCGGTCTCCCTGCGTCTCTCCGTATGTATTTCCCCGGACCTCCCTGCATCTTCGTTTCTGGTTTGTTTTGTTAGTTTTACCTAGTTTAGGTTTTCCAGTTTCATGTTTACCCACCATTGCTGTTTGTACCCACTCCTGTAAATAAATACTCACCTGCACCAGAGCTGCCGCCTTTTGGGTCCTTTCTACAACTCCACACGTCTGCCACACCGAACGTGACAGTACGAATCAGCCACCATGGACCCAGCGGCAGTAAATCCGTCCGAGGAGCTCCGGGACGACATTACGTATAATGTGGAGATTCTCCTCGGGCTGTGGCTAGAGAACCCTCTGGAGGAACTTCGCAGCACCATGGAAAGCCGGCTACAACGGCTCTTTTCTGGCCTGCCATGGCTTCTGAAGTTGCTTCCTCCGACCATGCAGGCTTTTCTCCGGCACACACCTCACCTTCTCTCAGCCACTCCTGCCTCACTGCCCGACTCGCCGGCGCGCCACCCCACAGCTGGACATTCGGGCTTCTAATTTGCCGGCTGTGGTGAGTGAGGACTCTTTTCCGTTTTCGGACTGTGTGACTGTTCATTCAGGGGCTGTGTTCTGTGCAGCAGATGATTATGTGAGCAGCGTATCACCTGCTCAGCAGCCACTCTCAGCTCAGTTAGCTGCCCCACAGCCACTCTCTGCTCTGTCACCAGTGCCTCCAGTGTCACTTTCAGTTCAGTGTCCAGCGCCTCCAGTGTCGCCTGTAGCTCAGGCCCCAGCGCCTCCAGTATCGCCTGTAGTTCAAGCCCCTGTGTCACCGTTACTCGTAGTTCAAGCTCCAGTATCACCAGTTTCACTTATTCACTCCATGCAGGGAGAAAGACTTGTTTCTACTCAAGGTGCTTTTCATGGTTTAGCCGCCATTGGCACAGTTTGCCGCTCCAGGGCTTCCCCAGAGGCTAGGTCTCATTCCCCAGCTGATTCTGGACCCCTGAAGTTTAAGCAGCCACCTGAGAACTGCACCATGTCAGCGTTGCCTGGGCAGAGCCAGTGCTCAGTGCATTGCCAATCGCCTTTGTGTCAGCTAGTGGCCTCCATGACTGCTGGCTTGGTGATGTCTTCTGCTGGAGGGTCCGAGGGACCGCTCCCGCCTTCGTCTCGTGTCTCCGCTGGAGGGTCCGAGGGATCAGTCCAGTCTGCAGCGCCACCGTCTCCGGCTTCCACGCCGCCACCTGCAGTGCCTCCGTCTCCGGCTTCCACGCCGCCGCCTGCAGTGCCTCCGTCTCCGGCTTCCACGCCACCGGCTGCAGCGCCTCCGTCTCCGGCTTCCACGCCGCCGCCTTCAGCCTCGTCTGGTCCGGCTTCAGACTCGTCGTCCTTGCCTGGCCCGGCTTCAGACTCGTCGCGGCCTCATCATCCACGCCAGCTGCGGCCTCATCATCCACGCCAGCTGCAGCTTCTGCTTCGGCGTCGCCTGGTCCGGCCTCCGTGTCTTCGGCGTCGCCTGGTCCGGCCTCGTTTGGGTCTGCAGCTAACCGGCCACTTTCTAGGCCACTGGCCAGGTGCCATCACCGTTGTGGGCGGCCCCCAGACTCCCTTCACCTGAGTCGCCACCGTTGCCTTCCGCACGGTTGGCCCCCTGAACTGTGTCCACTTCGGCGCCGCTGCCTTCCGCGCAGCTGGCCTCCGTCGCCTGGGTCGCCGCCGTTGCCGTTCGCGCAGCTGGCCTCCGGGCCTGGGTCGCCGCCGTTGCCATCCGCGCGGCTGGCCCCCGGACCAGTGCTGTCGTCATCACCGTTGCCTTCCTTACGGTCGGCCTCCCAAACTGTTTCCACATTGCCGCTGCTGCCGTCCGCACGGTCGGCCCCCTGAACTATTTGGACTCCTGTGCTGTCGGCCCCCTGAACTGTTCTGTTTTGGACTCTGTTTTTTGGGCTCTGGTGTATTTCTTTTGTTGTTGTTGTTTTTTTGGGGGTTTTTTTGGTGCTTGACTCGTGTTTTGTTTTTTGACTTTCTAGTGCTCCTAGAAATAGTGCTCCTAGTGCACCGGCAGCACGGTGGCACGGTGGTTAGCACTGTTGCCGCACAGCAAGAAGGTCCCGAGTTCAATTCCATCATCAGGCCGGGGTCTTTCTGTGTGGAGTTTGCATGTTCTCCCTGTGTTTGCGTGGGTTCTCTCTGGGTACTCCGGCTTCCTCCCACCGTCCAAAGACATGCAGCTTGTGGGGATAGGTTAATTGGATAATTCCAATTGCCACTAGGTGTGAATGTGCGAGTGAATCTGAGTGTGAATGGTTGTCTGTCCTTGTGTGTTAGCCCTGCGACAGACTGGCGACCTGTCCAGGTTGTACCCCGCCTCTCACCCTATGACAGCTGGGATAGGCTCCAGCGCCCCCCGCGACCCTGAAAAGGAGAAGCGGAAGCGACTGGATGGATGGGTGCTCCTGTTTTGTTTTGCCTCATTTTGTTAGTTTTACCCAGTTTAGGGTTTCCAGTTTCATGTTCACCCACCATTGCTGTTTGTACCCACTCCTGTAAATAAATACTCACCTGCACCAGAGCTGCCACCTTTTGGGTCCTTTCTACAACTCCACACATCTGCCACACCGGACGTGACAGTAACAAAATGAGAAACAATCCTAAATCAACTTGAAAAGTGATATAAATAATAGTAATCTCAAAACTCCTTTACTTTGCAGTTATATGATATGTTTCCCCATCTGTTTCTCTCTATGGAGCCGAGTTGGAATATCATCTTCTTTAACAGGTCTATATACACATTGGAGGCTTTCAATAACAGTAAAAAATATTGTAATGTTTGCTAAAGAATATGAGGAAACATAATGGCAATGCAATAGAACTACAAATGATCTAGAATAACCTGTACATTGAGGTGTTTTTAGGCTAGTTTATTATACAGCTAACCTCCTCTCCCAAGGCAGCTTCACAAACTGTCTTGAAGTAGGAGCACTTTAGTTTATTTTTTTATTTGTGCAAGTTATTCCTATTTACTCTAACTAAATTAACTAGTAGTAGGACTAATAGTAGTTAGTACTCTACTAATCTTTACTAGTACACAAATGCCACAGACACACAGACGATGTGCCATATTGACATAAGTCACATTTTGTTTCCAAATGTACAATACAGGAAAGTTACAACAACAAAGGATATGTGAAGAATTTACGTTAAAA